TTTTTGTGTGTGTGTATGTGTGTGTGTGTGTGTGTGTGTGTGTGTGTTGCTGGGGATTGAACCCAGGGCCTTGTGAGTATGAGGCAAGTACTCTAGCAACTGAGCGATAGCCCATATGACTATTAATAAGAACAAGGATTCCCCTAAATCTTCCCAGCAGTAGCATGATGTCTGGGAAAGATTCAATTAGGAAATATATGAAGGAACACACCTTGGCTCAGATATCACTTCAGTTTGAGGCATGTCATGTTGGAGCAGGTTTGCTGCAATCAGAACACAGAGACCTTTCAAGTGATACAAATGTAAGCTGCAATTGTACTTGAGCATAAATCAGAAGTTTTACTGTTTTCTCCATGAAAAGCTATTGATTTTTGATTGGTAGGAAGAAAAGTTTAGTTGGCACATAATATAAGCTCGGGTAAACAATGTGCTGGCTTGGACTTTCGTGGAAGTCTATGCTATTGTAGAAGCATTGCTGAACTACCTGCAGACACCAAGGCAATCATTTGAAAAATTTGGAAAGAAATTTTCTCTGTATTCTGGAGCTCAAGTAAGTGATCAGAATGCTGATGGTGGTTGGGGACAAGGATATTTCTTCCTCCCTAAGTCTAGCCTTTGGATTTCCTTTAGCTCTACCTCTGTAAGATCTCAACAATCTTTTTTATCGCAGGATAATGATATCTGGGAAGTTAGAAAGCTGACAGGCAATGAACTGCTTTAAAAAAAAGATCTGCTTTCAAATTCCTTATTCAGATTGCTGATCTAGAAGACGTGCACCTTACCTAGTCTCTTAAGATCTCAGAGTAAAAAGAGTGGAATCAATGTTTTAGACTTGGTAGTGACCATGGTGGGTGTTCCAGTTTAATAAGATTCCTCTCCTGAAATACAGATGGGTCAGTTAATAAATTTAAATGTTCACTAAAAAGTTATTACTAATATTTTAAATTATATTTTTAAAAATTAGACATTTTTAATTTGTTTTATTTGTACATCATACATTCATTTTGTTTATTTACTTTTATGTGGTGCTGAGGATCAAACCCAGGGCTTTGCAAGTGCTAGGTGAGTGCTCTATGGCTAAGCCACAACCCCAGCCCAAGACTTTTTAAAATGATTTATTGAGGCATAATTTACATAGAGCAAACTGCATTATATTTAAGAATAACTTAAGTTTTACTTATGTATACACTTACAAAATTATTCCCGAAGTCAATATAATGAACATATTTATGGCTGCCAAATTGTTTTCATGTACTTTTTTAAATGCTTTATTTCCTTCCTCCTGTCCCCAGATAACCACTCACTTGCTTTCATAAAGATTATTTGCATTTTCTAGAATTTTAAATACTTGAAATCATACTATGTGCATCATACAATTTTTTTTGTCCAACTCCTTTAATTCAATGATCCTGTTGAGATCGATGTGTGTTGTATATAAAATTAGTACAGTTCTTTTTATTGCTATACATATTATATTGCATGGATGATGACAACTTTTTCATCCATTTGCATCTTAATGAAGTTCTGAGTTATTTCCAATTATTGTCTTTTACAAATAAGGCCACAATGAATGTAAATGTGCAAGCCTTCTTGTACTCTTATCACTCTTATAGTTTGTTTGTAAACTAAATATCTTTCATAGATTCAAGATTTCGGTGAAAGATTTTGAATACATGCAGATGGCAATGGAGGGAGATATCAGAAAACCTATCATTTAGAGATTATATCTCTTTGGAAAATTAGACCTGCTTTTTCATGGTATGCCAACTTACCTACACCCATGCGAATCTTCTAATGGAGAAGCATTGTTGATACTTGTTTGTCGTATTTGTCAGATATGTAAAATAATAATATGCAAAGCACAATTTCTTCAAATATTTTCATACTGGCTGTATAAATACCAAATAGGCCTATCATTTTTATTCAATAGTAGAGAGATTTTGTTAGTGTCCAGGACCACAGGAATTTCTTCCTTCAGATTTTGACTCATTTTTGAGCAGCACACATGGCTATGATTTAAACAAAGCCCTACATTTCCCTTTAAGATATGTATTGTTTGAAACACTTTGCTGGTGGTGTGTGTTACTGGGTTTATTTGGCTTACAGACCTTGTGTACCAATTCACGTGTTTCTGATTTTAATAGACTTACCAGACAAAATATAAGATACCCAGTTATAATTGGATTTCAAATAAACAATGACTAATTTATAAGATCCAATTTTTTCAAAATGTTATGAATTGTTCTTTTAATGTCTAAGAACTTTTTGCCTTACCAGTTTATGCTGATTTTGTTTTCTTCCCAAAACTTCATAGATATATATTTATATCTGATTCATTAAAAAAATTTCATTATAAGTTGCAAAGCTTATATTCTTTCCTTTTTGCATATGAATGTCTCAATTTTTTTCCAGTACCATATTTTCAAAAGACTATTATTTTCCCACTGAATTCCTTCTGCACTAAACACAGCTAAGTTATATGGGTTAATCCACTAAGTTATATGTGGCTCTGTTTCTCCATTCTTGTTCTGCTCCATTAAGGTATCTATCCATTCATTTGCCAATTCCATATTACTTTGATTAATGTAAGTCTTGAAATTGGGTTTTAGATTTCCTCCAACTTCATTCTGCTTTTTCAGAATTGTTCTGGCTATTCTAGTCTTGTCTTCACATACAGATTTTTAAATAAACTTGGAATTGACCAAAAAATGTTGGGGGGTCTTAGACCATCCTGTGCTGCTGTAAAAAAATAAATAGTCTGGTTAATTTATAAACAATGAAAATTTATTTCTGGAAGCTGTAAAGTCCAAGATCAAAGTCTGTCAATAGCTTGTGTGGTGTCATCCCATGGCAGAAGGCAAGAGAAGCAATGAGAGAGAGAGGCCAAAACAGGCCAAACTTGTCCTATTATAATAAATCCACTCCCATTATAATAAACCCACTCTAATAATAATGACATGAATTCATGAGACTATAGCCTTCAAGGTCTAATCACATTTTTAAGGTCCCTCCTGACTCTGTCACAAGGGCAATTAAATTTCAAGAATTTGGGAGAGCACATTCACATAGCAAATGGGAACATGGATTAGCTCTCCAATTTAGATTTTTTTCAACACTGTTTTGTAGCTTTTAGCACAATGAACTTGCACATATTTTGTTAAATTTATACCTCATTGCTTCATTTTTCTACCATTATAAATAACATTTAAAACAAAAGCTTTAAACTCCAAATGGTCATAATTTATGTATAGAAACACACTTGGCTTTTGAATATTGACCTATAATTTTCAACCTCGATAGACTCACTAATGAGTTCTAAGAGATATTTTGTATGTTCACTGGGGTGTTCTACATTGACAACTATGACATATGTAGATAGAGATGGCTCTCTTTCCCTCTTTCTGATCTGTGTCATTTTGCACTGGCTAGTACTTCCAGGACAATGTTGCATTAGAGAAGTGGGATAGGATGTTCTCTCCTCATCCAACAAGGGAACAAGTTTTTTAATTATTGTTGTTTAAAAATATGATAGTAGTTGATTTTTGCCTATTGCTCTATGATGTTAAGGTAATTTCTGTTTCTGGTTTGCTGAGAGATTTGATCATAAATAGATACTTAAATTTGTTAAATGTCTTTTTTGCATCTATGGAACTGATTATCTGTTTTTATGTTATTGTAAATTATATTTATTGACTTTCACATTTTGAACCAACCTGAATTCACTTGTTCTAAGCACAGTCTTATTTTTATATATAGCTAGAGATAATTTGGCAATTTTTAGTTCTGGTTTTTACATCTATCTTCATGAGGGATATCACTCTGTTACCTTATTTTTATTTTAACTTATTTTTGTGGGTTAATATCAGATTTCATAAAATGATCTGTGATATCTTCTCTATATTTCATTATTCCTGTAGATATTCTGTAGAATTAGTTTTAATTCATTTTTTTTAGTCCACCAGTATAACAACCCTGGGCCTGGAGAATTTTTTTCTCAGACTATCAGCTACAAATTTCCTTAACAAATAAATATAGGGCTATTCAAAATATATATTTCTTCCTGATGGAGATTTGGTAGTTTATTTGAGAAAATAACTGGTCCACTTTATACTAAGTTGCCAAATTTATATTCATAGAGTTGTTTATCATTTCCCTTGTTTTTTATTAAATTTCTGTGGGATTAGTAATTATATCCCCTCTTTCATTCCTGAAATAATTGGTTTGTGCCATCTCATTTTCTTAGTTACTATGGCTAGAGGTTTATCAATTTTAACTGCACTTTTAAGAGAGACTTTTATTTTATTTTCTCTATTGCTTTCCTATTGTCAACTTTATTTAAATCTGCTTTATTTTTTAATTACTTTTTTCTGTCTTTAGGACATATGCTGTGTAATTCCAAATATTTGGGGTTTATCCAGATATCTTTCTGTTGTTTATTTCTAGTTGAGCACCATATGATTCAAGACCATACTTTTAATGATTTCAAATATTTGAAATTATTTAAGGATTGTTTTGTTTTATAGTTTAGAATTTAATCCACCTCGGTTTGCATTTCATATATGTTTGTGAAAATGTATATTCCCCTCTGGTGGGAGAATTCTATAACTTTCAATTAGGTTAATTTATTTGATATAAATCTCCTCTTTCCTCATTGATATTCTGCCTATTTGTTCTATCAGCTAGAAGTAACGTAAAATTATTAACAAGATCTTTTAGTTCAACCACAATTTGGTTTCAGCTATTCAAGCATATGAATCCAAAAATACTCTTCTTATGTTATCATGCACATTTAGGCACCTGTGCCTTTGTGCCTCCCATATTCTTTCTCGCTCTTGATCAGAACAATGTGTGGGGACATGGTTATTTATTGAGCACTGAGAAAGATTATTTTCTAAAAGGAAAGAGTCTAAAGATCATCCATCTTTATAATATTGATTAAATCTTGTGTATCCAGGCAAAATCTACACTGTATTTCATAATCTGTGACCTTTTCTCCAGATATGATGGAGCCTGCATCCTCTTATTTTTCTGGATACTGTATGTGCTTTCTTCTCTTACAAGTGATGACATAAACTTCAGGTAAGAACATCTACTTTTTTCCTACTCAGTCTCAGCTGTGGAAAGAATCTAGTGCATCACCTTTTAGTGAGTATTAAAGTCAGCACTTCATTGTAATATCAAGAGAAAGACTGAAAAATGGAAATCAGCAACTCTTCTTAGATCCATGAAAAATGAGATTACAGGGCAAACCACTTCCCCCCATATTGGAGACACAGACAGGTGTAAGAATCTACCAAAGCAGCAAACCATAAGCAGAAACCTTTGGAGAAAACAGTACCAGGATTGGAAAATCTAAACCCTAATTATTCAATTGCTAGAGGTTGTATAGACCTGTCTGAGTCAAAAACTCCAGAGAAGACCAGGGCAGGCAGGACACTTGTGCCTTTTACCTCCAGTGTTTCTACCAGGTTCTTACAGTAAATGATTGGAGAAAATTTCTTTGTGCTTCCAGCAAGGGGAAGAGAAAAGTAATCATTTTGATACATACTTGTCTTAAAAAAAACATTGTACTCAAGAAAACTATTTTGCCAGAGCCCAACCTATTATAGTTCCATAACCCTAAGTAACCCAGGGGAAGGGTAATATCTAACTTCAGGCTCCTCTATCCATCCTGTCCTACTTAAGAGGGAGCAGAATCCAGGGAAGCACTCATGAAGCTCACTTCCCAAGAGCACAGGCTCACCCAAACTGAAACCTAATCAGAGAATCACAGAATGCTTCTCTTCCCCCCAAACTGTGTCACTTCATCACTAAAAATCTCTCACCAGAATTCATCCCCCCCCCACACACACAAAACTGGGAAACATACTAAAAGGCAAATCTATAGTTTGAAGAGAGAGAACAAAACCAGATTCAGATATGATGGGGATTTATCAGACCAGGACTTTAAAACAACTATAAATAATATGCTAAGGGGCCTAATGGAAAAAGCAGATAACATTTAAGAATAGATGGATAATGTAAGTAGAGAGATATGAATTCTAAGAATACAAAAGAAATGTTATAGATTAAAAGAAAGAAATATAAAAATTACTGCCAAAAAACTCTCTTAGGTCACTTTTAGAGTTGTGTTATTAGCTCTATTGAATATAAACTTCTGTTTCTATGTAATCTTTTTCATAATAATAGAAATTTAGAAAAATAAACAATTTTTGTAACAAAATCTAGAGGTCAAAGTAACAAAGATAGCCCAATAAAATAACTTTCTAAAATGATGTGTTTAATGACTGGAGGTACAAAATAATTTGTAAATATTGAAAGATAAATAGGCTTTATATCAGGAATGTGCAGATGGTTTGGAGCTATCAAAGACCTTATTGTGGCCTAAGATTGAGAGAGCAACCCTGTTGTGGGCTTCAGTGAAAGAATTGTCTCCATAGTGGCAGATGCAAAAATGCATTAAACAGTAATTACAAACAGAGTTATGCATGGTCAAAACTGCCTAAAGGAATTTATTTGGAGAATATGGGAGAAGATTGCAATAGAAACAAAGAGGGAGAAGAATTGAAAGGGTTTGACTGATGTGAGATGGTTAGTGGAGCATATGCACCCAAGGATGCATCTGAGTTATCACTGACTCCTTGCTCCTCACACCACCTCTTAGATCCATATCCACAGGGTATCACTGCACTGAAGGTACCACACCCTGAAAACAGTTCTGAGAGTGCTCTTCTGGTGTTCTGTGTGGATTTGCATTGGTCAGTGTGAATCAAGTCAAGTGATTTTTTTGGTTTTTCTCCTTGGAAGAAATGAGGTTCTGCTGGAATTGGTTCTACTGAATTTGCTCATTGAAAAGTTATACTAAAATATCCCTTTTTTAGATTTAGAAATTTATTCTTATATTTTTGAAGGTTTTATACATTAACTATGATTTTGATAAAATTTTTAAAATATGTGCTATCATAGTATCCTAATTTTTGTTGAATGCTTTGATCTCAAATTTTATTTTGCCTAGTATACCTATTGTTAGTCTAGGTGTTCAAGCATCAATGTTAACATGATTACTTCTCATATTTGTTTAATTTTAATTGGATATTCTGTTAAAGTTTTCACTTGGGCTAGTAATTCTCTTATTCTCATATACAAAATCAAAACTAAATTCTTTTATAGTGAATGTGTCAAGCTAAAAATGTATCTGCTCTCCCCTTAATTTCTGTGTTGCCTCTTTTTCTTCCTTCTAAAAAGGAAATATATATGAATATTTTAAATTCTTTTATATACCTACTGCGTGGTCCTTCCAAGAAAAAAATAGTAATTGTAATTTTTATCCTAGCAATACTACAAAAAAATCCCAAATTTTGCTCAAGTGGTTATAAGTTTTTAGCTTCAAAGCATTATTAAATTTCTGTTATTGCTAATGTACTCTACTGTTCTTCCTACTCTCAGAAACATGCTGAAAATGATAGAGATTATAAAAGATAAATATTAAATTAATACACATTTTTTCTAATTTTCTATTGCAGGGAAATACATATAACATAAAGTCTACAATCTTAATCATTTTAAGTGTATATTTCAATGGTATTAGCCACATTATTTAAGTTGTGTAACCAACCCAATCATCTGTTGAAAGAGGAATTTTCATATTGTAATTCTGAAACGCTATACTCATTAAACAATTTTCCCCATTCTCCCACCTTCATCCCCAGGCAACCACCATTCTACCTTCTGTCTCTGTGGTTTTAGCCACTCTAAATACCTCACACAGGTGGACTCATACAGTATTTGTCTTTTTATGGGGCTAGCCTATTTTAATAATGTAGAATACGTCAGAATTTCCTTTCTTTCTGAGACTGTATATTATTCCTTTGTATGTATTACATTTATATACCACATCTTGTTTATTCATTCATCTGTTGATGGACACATGAGTTGCTTTACTTGGCTGTAAAGGATGCTGCTCTTGAACATAGATGTACAAATATCTCTTTGAGACCCTGCTGTTAATTCAATTCAATGTTACATTTCAGGACATACATACAGCATACAGTGATCAAAGCCACCATCCCTTTACCTGGTCCCTACATTTCCCAACCTCAAGTGATCACTATTTTGCATTCAAACAAACATATTTTAGCTTCTGTATATGAAAGAGCACATGGTACTTTTCTGTCTGTGTCTGGTTTGTTTTACTTAACAGTATGTTTCAATTTCATCCATTTGGCTAAAAGTGATGGAATTTCATTCATGTTTATAACTGAAAAATATTCTCTTGTATATATGTGTGTATATATATATATAATATATGTGTATATACTATCAAATATATAAGTCACTGACTGATATAGACGTGACTTTATTTTAAAGAGATGTTTAAATGCTAAAATTTCCTAGTTTTTGAGTCAAATTAAACATCAACAACAAGGTTATATCATTAACATGGTGTAAAAAGCACAAACAATACCTGCATTTCTCTAATCCAGTATTTCTGCTTCAAGCTTCCTGATTTTTCAGAAATTGTATTGCCCTGAAATATACTATATGGACCTCATTCTCAAAGGGAATTTTCCTCAAATTTGAGATGATGGTAGAGGCTCGTTCCTGGTTCTGATCTTTGTTACAATCTTGGTTATTATGAACTTTAATCCTGAAATAGTAAATATTAATATTCCCTCTTCTATAACCTATTAGAGTAAGCATTCTAATTTCATTGGTGCTATAGTTTGATGTTGAATGGCCCCCAAAGCCCATGTGTTAAAGACTTATTCTCCAGGGTGGCAGTGGCAGTGGCAGTGTTGGGAACTGGAAGAACCATTAAGAAGTAGGACCTAGTGGAAAGTCTTTAGGTCATGAGGGACAAGCCTTTGAAGGGGATAATGGATTTTGGCTCTGTCCTTGCTCTTTTGCTTCCTGTTGATGGGGTGGGCAGTTTAATTCTACTATGACCTCCCAACATGATGTGCTGTCTTGGCATGGGCCCCTAAAACAACAGACAAGGATCATAAACTAGAATCTACACCTACATTTATTTCTTAACTTACTATTTCAAAGAGTGCCACAATTAACATGATCATTCAGGTATTTCTTTTGTATGTAGATTTTATTTTCTGTGAATGTGTACAAAGTACTGGGATTGTTGGATCATATGGTATAAGTTCTTTAAAGGAACCTCCATACTGTTCTCAATAAAGGCTATACTAATTTACATTCATAGCAGCAATGTATGAGAGTTCCTTTTCCTCCACATCCTCACTAGCACTTATTTTTTTCTTTTTAGATAGCAGCAATTTTAATTGGAGTTCAATGATGTCTCACTGTAGTTTTGATTTTTACTTTACTGATGGCTAATAATATTGAGCATTTTTTCAAATGTCTATGGGCCACCTTTTTAAATTATTTTCAGAATATTCCTGAAACATTCATGGATGAAAACTTCCTAAATTTGATGAAAGACAAATATCTGAGGTGTTCTTCCCCTTTCACTCTCTGTTCTCTTTCTGGAAATCCTAAAATGCATGTGTTGGTCTGCTGGATGATGTCACACATATTCCCCCTTTTTTTCTTTAATATTTGTTTTGCTCCATAATTTGCATGTTTTTGAATTGTATTTCTTTAAGTTTTGGGGGTTTTACTTCTTATAAACTACTTTTGTGACAAGGTTCACCCTAAAGTATAAGCCTAAGGTCTCCTTATGTCTTTTATGATTCTGTGCTTTCTCTGGGCATATGCCTACACTTTGTAATTCTTCCCAGTTTCTTTTGAACGTTCCAGTCCTAACTGTATGGTACTCAAAAAGTAAAAAGAGAAAAATGAAGAGGAAAAAGGCTTTTCACCACAGGTGAAAAAAGCCCTTTTTTTATTTGGAGAAGGAGGAGTAGGAGGGGGCAACTACAGGGGAAGGTACGATGACCAACCACCTCATTGTCTGCACCTCTGTGATCAGAGGCAGCAATCAGTTATTAGAGCACAGACACCTCAATGCTTGAAGGATAAAGTCCTTTTTCCCTACCTGCTTAGTTCAAGCTGCTCTAGAAACATAACATTGTTTGGGTGGGGAGTCAGATTGCTTGCTGGTGCTTCCTACTCCACCATCTCCCAGAATCCTCCAAATGAATATATTTTTAAAAGTCTAAAGATGTACCATTGGTATTTATAAAAAATAGAATATTGGTTTAATCTGAAGGAATGTGATCAGAGCTGAACATTCAGATCAGCATAGGTCTACTGGGCAGAATTTGTGTGTCCTTCCAAGTAGTGTCTAGCAACAGGGTTGTTACTGGTTTATGACTTATTTTGGTTTTCTTTCTTCCTCCACAGAGAAGTTGATGGTGACTGTTCCCAAGGGGCATTTGGTGGCTAGAGTAGGAGGACAGGCTGCCCTCAGCTGCCAGTTGTCCCCACCACAAAGTGCAGAGCACATGGAGGTGCACTGGTTTAGGGGTGACAATTCCCAGCTTGTTTACCTGTACAGAGGCGGTCATGAAGTAAATGGAGAAGCTGCCCCTGAATATGTAAATCGTACAGAGTTTGTGAAAGAGGCCATGGGGGAGGGTAAAGTGACCCTCAAAATTCATAATGTCAGCATTTCTGATGATGGACCATACAGGTGTTTATTTAAAGATACTGACTTCAGTGATATGGCCAGCATGAATCTTAGCGTGGCAGGTAAGTGTGCTTGTGGAATGTTGTATAACAAAGCCCTTTTGACACAATGAGCTCAAATATGAGGAAAATTATCTCAATGTTTCTTATTTCTTCTTTTCATATTCTAAAAAATTCAAATACTACAAGTACTAACTTATAAATAAAATGTGAATTTGATTCACAAATATTAAATTGCAGATCACATGACTTCCTTTCAACTTGCCAATCCAACCTCAATACAATAACTGTCTTGATGGTTGTTTCCCATTTCCGTCAGCACTTGGCTTGGAGACACAGATTCATGTCCAGGTTCCCACTAGTGATGGACTCGTGGTGGAGTGTAACTCAGGAGGGTGGTTTCCACAGCCCCAAATGGAGTGGAGAGACAGCAGAGGAGAGGTCGTTCCGCATTCATCAAAATCATACTCCCAGGATGGAGCCAGATTGTTCCACATGAAGATGACTCTTCTCCTCAGAAACTTTTCAGACTGCAATATTACATGCTATGTTCACAACCCTGTAATAGGTGAAGAGAAACAAACAAGTATTATCCTAGCAAGTGAGTGTTCCATCATTAGGGTTTAGTTATCAACAAAACATAGAGAAAAAACTAATGGAATAGTTAATGTTAAAGAGCTTACTAAATTCTCTTTGAATGATTCTTTATCTTTGTTATGGGTTTCGGTAATACAGATGTTTTGGGGTGCTAAGGAGAAGGCTTTAGAATAAAAATAAACAAGAACAATAGCAATTCACAGTTCAAAAATACATTACAGCTTTAAAGGCATTTAATGTCCATTACTTTGTTAGACCCTCACAATAATTATGTGTAAATTTATCAGAATTTTAGCTCAGTAACTTGATCTTTCTGAACTATAGTTTTTTCATCTTAGAAATGAATATAATCATACCTCATGGGTTTTTGCAAATCTTAAATAATTAGAAGAAGTAAAACCTTTTTCTTATTGTCATTCAATATTTAGCACTACTACTATTATTTAAAAATTTCTGACAATTCAATAAATGTTATGGTCATTGATAGACAGATGTTGAGAGGCCAGTAACAGCAGTAGTAAGTGAAATGTGGAACTAAACTACAGTTTTCCTGATTACTTGTTCATTGCTCATTCTTTGGAGTCATGATAGGTGGATGTCAAAGGCCATACTCTGTGTGCAATAAAGTTACCCTTAACTAATGCCTCTATAGAGAAGTATAGGAGCAAGGTAATGGACAGGGCAAATGTGCCTTCAGATACCACTTCGTGGAATCTTTTTTAGCCTGATTGTGAACACAGTTTTTTCTCTTAAAAATTCTCTAATACTCTTAAATAATTAACATATGGACTGGAAAAAATATTGTCCTGACCAGATAGGAGCCTATAACAATGCATTATTTGTGGTATAGCAAGAAAGTTTTTAAGAGTGGGTAAGATTCTGTAAATATTTTAAATGTAGAGCTGATGGGAGTTACTGATAGATTGAATGTGTGATGAAAAAGAATAAAGGAAATCAGAAGGACTCCAATGTTATAACCAGAGTCATGAAAGATGATTTTTCATCTACTGAGACAGGAAAATTTGTGGGATAAAATAAGACCATGCTTATAAGACTTACCAGCAAAGTGTTGATCAGGACTTAGGTGCATGAACCTAAAGTTCGCAGAGAAGACCATATTTGGGACATAATATGAATGTCTTCAGCCTAAAGAGAATATTTTGAAGATGAAACTGGCTAAGATCAGAAGAGCAAAAACAGAACCAGGTGTTCCTTTGAAGATCAGTAAGCTTTTGTACTAAGATCTTTTGTTAGAGACAAGAGAGAGGCTTCTTTTCAATCTACTATAGCCTCAGTGTGAATTCTATCCCCAAGATAAGCTTAATGTTGTACTTGCTCTTTACTTGTCACTACACCATCTCTATCAAAGCCTTTTCATGCTACAAATACAAAAATAAAGAATTATAGACCTGAAGGAGTATCCTGCTTTATTAGCAGCAACTTTCTAATCCATTAGGGACACCTATTGTGGATGTATTGATTTCAAGTTGTTCTGTCCTTTCTTTCAGATGACCTGTTTGATAAGGAGCACCTTACAAAGAAGTTTTTAATTTTATTTTCGTGTTTAACAATCGCTTTGGTTTTGACATACATTTGCCTTTGGTATTTCATAAGAAAAGGTAATTGATACGACAAGGGGGAGGGGAATTATTAAGGACGTTAACTTGATGGATAAGTCATGTGGGCAAAAGTGAATGATGTTTGTCTTCCAAAGTTGGGTCTCATATGGGAAGATATTTATGGCTTGTTCCCCACTTTAGAAATGTTGGACTTCATACCTCTTAAATTCCCAAGACAAGAATGCTTTTAGGGATGAGGTTGGTATAGATGTCTTTTGAAATTTCAGATTTACATTTACTTCTTTTTTTTTTTAAATTTTTTATTGTTGGTTGTTCAAAACATTACATATTTCTTGATATATCATATTTCACACTTTGATTCAAGTGGGTTATGAACTCCCATTTTTACCCCATATACAGATTGCAGAATCACATCAGTTACACATCCATTGATTTACATATTGCCATACTAGTGTCTGTTGTGTTCTGCTGCCTTTCCTATCCTCTACTATCCCCCCTCCCCTCCCCTCCCCTCCCCTCTTCTCTCTCTACCCCCTCTACTGTCATTCATTTCTCCCCCTTGTATTATTTTTCCCTTCCCCCTCACTTCCTCTTGTATGTACTTTTGTATAACCCTGAGGGTCTCCTTCCATTTCCATGCAATTTCCCTTCTGCACTCATAAGTAGGATGTTAAAGGATTAACACTTACTGATAGATTGAATGCATGATGAAAAAGAGATAAAGGAAATCAGAAGGATCTCAATGTTATAGCCAGAGTCATGAAAGATAATTAAAAATTAAACACTGAAAATTGAGGCAGTACTATCCTCTTTTAAGAAGCAGTTCCTATATTTTCCAAAGGAAGAAGTAAGAGTTCTATTATTTTAAAGTATACACAATACTTAGGAGACTTATTTTAATTGAGTGTAAAATTACACCAAAGAGACATCAACATAAAAAAGCAACAAAAACCTAAAGAAAAAATAAAAAATGGCAAGAAGGACAGCAATGTATGTGCAGCTTTAACATATCTGGCTGTCTTTTCTGTCCTATGTTTTGCTGGCCTGACAGTTCTGCAAAGCCACAGCAGAATCTGTCCTGCACAATGATACAAAGTAGGATAAATTCATCAGTCAACTACTGCATTGTGGATAAAAAGAGCTGCACCTGAATGCCACAAGACAAATAATAGTAAACCATTGCATGGACCAAAAAAAAAAACTATAGAAACAAAGACAATGATGTTGCTTCTTTTCCCCAAATGAAAGTCCTATGATTCCAGAATTTTCTGAGTAGAAATAGAGTGATGTGAAATGTCAAAGACCCCATTATTTTGTAAAGTGCACCTCAAAACATTCCAATTCTGCCCATGAACCACATACTTCTACATCTCCCTGTTGCAGCTGGTGGTACCTGTGAGGGTACCAGTGTGGCTTTGTCCCTGCCCACAGGAGGAAAGCCCAGTCCCTGATGATCCACTTACACCAGATGCTGACTTCACCATCCTCTTGTGAGAGTCTGGGTCCTCCAGAAAAAGCCCTGAGCTCTTACTCATAGTTAAATCCTGAGCTCATGGGTGAGCCCAGAAAGTGTTCTGCAGGGGAGTCACCATCTCAGAAAACAGGTCTGTTGGTGATGGATTTGTTCAAGTGTGACTTCCATTTTTAAGTTAAGGAGTTTTAAGGCCATCTGGGTTTGTGTTGTCAGTGCCAAGGTGGAGTCCAGCCACAGAACTTCTTACCCACCCAGAAATGCTTTTTTAGCATTGGTGAGAGGCATGTTTCCTTTTCACATCCAAAAGTTGATGTTTTAAGTAAGGAAAGTTTCCTAGCCACTAAGTCTGGATGTCCCTTTTCCCTCACAGCTACTAGGGGCACATCCACACTCAGGGCCTGAGGACCATCTTCCCTCTTGATCCACTTTTGCTCCAGCTGCTCCTCCTGGATACCCTTTCAAACAGGGATCACGGATCTGTCCATGGGACCTGCCATATTTTAGATGCCACCATTGGTTCTCAGTGTCTCTAATCAGCTGTCTACATGATTGTGTTTTCCCCCAATTTGAGAAAAGAGTAGCTGTGATGTGAAGAAGCTGTGAACTAATGCAAGAGTCTTGGAAGTAGGTGCCCTGTGTTTTTTGAGTGAAGATATTTCAGAAACTTGAATTCCCTGAAATACTTGTACACTCTCCAGATAATTAAACTTTACTTTTTTGGTCATTTTCTTCTGGAAGGCGATATAAATCAAAGATCAAATGTTTCACAGAAGCAGGGAGCGGTGACACAGGCCTGTAATCCCAGCGACTTGGGAGGCTGAGGCAGGAGGATGTATAGTTCAAAGCCAGCCTCAGGGGGAAAAAATGAGGCACTATGCAACTCATTAAGATCCTGTCTCTAAATAAAATACAAAATAGGGCTAGGAATGTGGCTCAGTTTTTGAGTGCCCTTTAGTTCAATCTGTTACCGCCCCACCCCGCCACACACAAAAAGGTTTCACAGAGAAATTATTCAGTAATACATGGGAAATATTTTCACCATGTCTGTTTAGCTTGTAGGAATGAGTCCCTGGATAGGGCATTTAAGCTCAAGGTGTAAAGTGTGTTTCCTTTACTATTTAAGAAGCAAGCTTTTCCTGGTTACTGAGTCTATGGATCCCAGGCAATTCCTTGTTTTAGCCAACTCAGTGTTGGCACCTAAGCCTGAAACTTGAGAATCTCTAGGAATCTGATGAGGATTCCTAGGACTGCTTTCTTTCTCCCCAGCCAAATTATTATTATTTTTTTCTGGAGTAGATGGCACAAATTAGAAAAAGAAATACCTTTTAGCTCTGAAAGATCTGCACATCTAGTCTGACTAGGACTTGCCACCATCCACAAATAAAACTCACAGATGAAGCACTAAATTGAGTTGGCGTGGGACAATAACTGTTTTTTTTTTTTTTTTCAGATAATTATACTTAGGCTAGAGATGTTCCACATTCCTATGTTCCTCTATGTCAATTTAATTCTTTGTCAATTTAATTCTTTCTCTTCTAGACCATATACCTGAATGTCTACTTACAGGTCTAATTCCATGTTGTTATATGTTGAATTCAATACCTGCTCAATTCCTGTTTTGCTTCATATGCTCTGTGACACTTCTTTTTGTGTATCTGCCATTCCGGACCAGAGGTAAATGGGGTTAGTAGTGGTGTACTCTCTCTTGGTTGCTCTTATTTTCCTAGAAATCTGTCTCTTGGGGTTGTTCAGCCAAGGCTATGTGACAATTTCATCAGCACCAGAGGGATCTGTAGTTTGGGTGGCATTTCAGAGGATCAAATTCCAACATTGAAATTGTTTTGGGTGTCAAGGATAAAAGCTGCCTCTATTACCAGTGTTTTCAACAGTACAGGGAACAGATTTCCTTCTGCTACATAAAAGGAGAAATAAGCATACTGGTTTCAGAAAATATGGTTGAATCTAGTCACTCTTTAAGTATTTTTTCTGGGTCCACTTACTTGTTGGTGAACATTCATGACTCCAAGTCAAAATTTCTTATCAATTTGGGTCTTAAAAATCTACTCTAAAAATACAATGTCAAAGATAAATATTCTCCTTCCAATTCCAATTCTAACATATATACCAAAAATTTGATGCAATTTCAGGAAGTTTTTGAAACTTTTATATCCTTTTGTGGATCCATTATTTATGAAATATGGTCATTATTTAGAGGTAAAATTAATGAAGTAATATAATATTCAAAAATATTATTTTGACAATTATTTTGTTATTTAGAAGTTTATAAAGGAAATATATAGCCAAGACAGTTATCACCAACCAAAGAAATACTTGATCTTATTTGAAGCATTACTTCCAAATCACAAAGGAGAATTTTAGGAAGTTAGAGTGGTCATCAGAAGAACTCCATCTGTTGCCTCATTTTCCATCTTCTTGCTAGCTGGGCCTTATGCATCAATCATTTCTTCTGAAAATCAGAAAGTCCTGCCTCAGAATTTATAAGACCAATGAATAAAAATCCCTATTCCTTAGTGTCAAATTAATAAATACATTTATACTAAAAAGATGAACTCCCAGATACAATGCAGGGGAAAATAGAGCACCCTAAGACAAAGTTACCTAGACATCTTCATTTCAATTAAGTGTGAGTTCTCCTTCTAAAGTGTCTGTAGAAGGAAATATGAGGAGCTGAGAAACCAGGATAAAGACCACCTCATTTTAAAAGCTGGTCTGAGGATAATACAAATTATTCCTGATTGTCAAAAGTTTTTCGAGTTTAATGACCACATAGCTGTACTCCCTAGTTTCTTTCGAATGAATACATAGGAGTTGAGCTGAGTCACATGTTACGTGTATATTTACCTTCATAATCGACTGCTTAACGTGACTATACCACTTTATATATCACCAGTAATGAATAAGAGAATGCTTGCTGTTCATTTCTATATTTCATACATATTTTGTACATGAACTTTTTATGGGTATATGGTTTAGAAATAAAACTGGCTTGTGAATATTTTCTCCATTCCCGTAGTTGACTTTTCATTCTGTTGAGTGCTTTGTTGTGCAGAAGCCTTTGAGTTTCATGTAGTTCTGTTTGTCTATTTTTGCTTTGTTGCCTGTACCTTTGGTGTCATAGCCAAGTAATCACTCCCAAGGTCAAAGTCAAGATTTTCCTGTATGTTTTCTTTGAGAAGTCTTATGATTCCAGGTCTTAGCTCTATGTATTTAACCCATTTTGAGTTTTTTGTGTATGTAGCTGAAGACAGGGGTTTAATTTCATTTTTATGCTAATATCACAATATTTTCATTCTTCACTGTTGAGTTATAATATATTTTGGCATTAGGAAGTGTGATGCTTCCAGATTTGTTCTTCATGCACAAAATATCTTTAGCTATTTGGTATCTTTTGTGTGTTCCTTGTAAATTTTAGGATTTTTCCCCCCTGATTTGATTTAAAAAAAAGTACTATTGGGATTTTAATAGAGATTTAATTGAATCTGTGGCTCATTTCTGATAGTGTGAACATTTTAACAACATTATTATTCTATTGTGTCTATTTTAA